TTAGGGTGTCCCTTATTTTTATTTTTTTTACGCATACCCTCTAATTATATTTATTACGTGTTTATATACTCCCAGTAAAAATTTTAGCTCATTCTATAAACGGGAACCCGTGCCGACTTGCATCTGAACTCTCCGTTAGCCAACGTTAGGAGCGCGGTATTTTGTAACACGGTTGGTCGCGAGGTCTTCGATCGTAAGTAATTTTGTGTTATTATATGACCCTTATATTATAAATTATTGACAAATGTTAAAATATAGTTTTATTTATGTGTATACTTTGATAAAAATGTATATTTTCACAGGGAGTGGCTAGTTACCCTGAAGGGTCTGGTGAATAGGCCGTAAACTATGAAATTGATAAACTTAATGGGATTTACTCTAAATAACTAAAAGAGTCTATTGTGAGAGATGACTACCGAAAACTTATTGAACTGTCTGAACTATTTTTGGGAGGACATCAAGAAAAGAAATGCTTATAAAAAGCTGAAATTTCAAATAACAGTATATTTTAGCAATACTAATTAGTATATTAATATATTTAAGGGATAAAATCAACTAAATTAGTGAAACAAATGATAGAAACAAAAGCAATAATATTAATTAGTAATCATATTTAATAAAATCATTAGAAAAATACAGTCATGAAGTATATCTTCTTATTAAAGTGTTTCGTGTTACAAAATACCGCGCGCGCCTAACGTTGGCTAACGGAGGGTTTAGATGCAAGTCGGCACGGGTTCCCGTTTATAGAATGAGCTGAAATTTTTACTGGGAGTATATAAACAAGTAATAAATATAATTAAAGGGTATGCGTAAAAAAAATAAAAATAAGGGACACCCTAATGTAGGTACATATGTGTAAATTGTTAATATTTTTTAGTATCTTAACCGAAAGCGCAAATCAAAAATTGTTTTGCACACTGTACAATGTACATTGTTATATCATTGAGTAAGCTGTAATGCTTGGTATATTGTATTATATTGTATTATATTGTATTATATTGTATTATATTGACACCATATTACATTATATTGTATTATATTGTTTTCAACAATTTTTTTTTACTTCCACAGCAAAATATTAATGTACAGGGTGAGTTTTTAAAAGTCTTACAAGGGGATATTTCGAAAACAATTAAAACAAATTTCGTAAAATTTTGGTAAACTTATAGAGGGGACCTATTTAAACATATTTTGACACCTACCCCGGGGGTAGTAGATTTTTAATAGAGGATTTCTGGGCTTAGTAAAATTATTTGTAAAATAACTCATATTTAATGATGCTCAAAAGGTTAATCATCATTTGGAACTTTTCTCAAAAGGATTGAGAAGGTTCCCAAATCATTATTAATTTTTTGAGCAGCATTACAAATGAGTTATTTTGCAAATAATTTTGTTTACCCCAGAAAAAAATGTTGGCGCTTGGTTCCTTTTCGATAAACGCTATCCAATTATAAAAACAAAATTGTTCTAGGCGTTTTTAACTGGATATAGTATATATATATAGTATTACTATAGGTATACCTATATATACCTATAGGTACCTATACCAATACAAAACTTTTGTAACAAAGAAAAACCGTTGAAAATTCTCAACCATTAACTGAAATCAACCGACTATGTCTACCAACCGCCCAGTACCCAACTGGGGGAAGGATAAACACCATTTTCGTACCAGCAGGGAACCATTGGCGTACCAAACAAGCTTGTTTGCAGTTTAATACGAATGAAAACATGTATCCAGAGGAAATGGGTAAAATTTATGGAAACCGACCAAAAACACCATTTTCTTCAATAGTATATTCTGCGACTAGTGGGAGAAGGAGGAGATTCCTCGAGCGTGAATTTTATTTGATATTTTATCTGACATCCGACAACTGTAAAGCAGTTTTCCGATTTTAATATAAGGCTAAAGTTAGCCCATTGGCGATATAGCATTTCGCCCACAGGTTGAAGTTAAGAAATGAACAATCAAGGAATTTAATATTTCGCCCACTCTTGGCAGGCCACAAATTACATATTTTCTGCGGGTGTCGAATATATCAAAATGTTTTTACCTAACCGTTGCAGTAACGTTTTTAATAATAAAATTTATTTATTAAAAATTATTTAATGCTTTCCAAGATAATTCAATATAATATTAATGTAATATTACACAAAATTAACTTACTTTTTTCGCTATTTGAGTAGCTATCTAATAGAACTATGCAAAATAATATATTATAAAAAAGTATATTTCCCATCTCTAATTTTATCCGATGATGTCCGAGTAAGTGTAATATAATCTATAATAAATATATTATAAAAAAAGTATTTTTCCCATCTCTAATTTTATCCCATGATGTCCGAGTATGTGTACACAATTATTTAAATAATTGTTTATTGAAAAGTTGAAACCAGAATGTACCGAGAATGGGTCTGCTTTCATATATATGCGAGAATATTCTCGCAGATTTCTATGGAGCATAATTGAAGAAAGAAAATGTTTCTCCGCATTGCCACTCTTTCGTGTTCCTTTTTATTTTTCTTTCTTATTGATTTTACTCCTTTTCTATTCGCCAGGCTGTAGAAAGAACCTCGTCAGGTCTTTTGTGCTTTATGGGCGTCTGTCTGCAGGTCAAAGTTCTAGGCTTTAAGCTATGTTTATTGATTTTTCCTATAATAGTAGGTAAAACTTTAAAACCGGGCATATTTAGGTAAATTAACAAATCTCAAGGTTGCATACATGTCACAAAACAACTTTTTACAAAGTGGATTTTTTTGGTGACCTAACATTTTGTTTAGGTAGGTATATCTACTGGATAATCCAGTCTGGATTGTATGCATCATAGTTAAATATGAAAAAATATGTATAGGTATTTAGGTTATATTATAGAATAATACTAATAATTATAATGAGACATTATACCCAATGATTAAATTTTAAATGAATTTAAGCTACACTATGTCCAGTAAATAGCAGTATTATTATAATGCTAAGATGTATACACCGTGTCCAAAGTTATCTGCTTACCATTGCTACCATTTTAACTCCATTATTATTGGAGCTACAAATTGGTGTACTTTTTTCTTCTGATTAAAATGGTGAAAACCGAAAAACAATTAAACGTCTGGTTTCCGAAATGTAATCATAAAAATAACATGTTTTAAATGGGACACCCTGTATATTTTTACATACATTAAAAGACAATTTAATTTGGAACAACAAATTATTATTATTAACTACGATAAATTTAAAAATAAACAATTTATAACCACTTGAACTTTCTGATGGTTGTTAAAAAAACTAAATTATTACTTTTTTTTGGTAAACCGCATTTTTTAGCCTTGCATCTAATTGTATCCGTAAATAATATTAATAAATAATTTACCTCCTTCTTATTCTTTATTTTATATAAATATTTAGAAAATTTTATTTAAAGCAGAAAATCAAAATATGTATGATTAAGGGTCCGGAAACATCGCAATTTTAAGTGATAAGCGGCGCACAATGGAAATTTGTTGCTGGGAGTTTGTATGTCTCTGGTTTGGTCATCAAAATCAATTAGGTAAATATTTTGTTTAAAATTACCAATATTTTCTTGTAAATCCGCCTCTGTATTTAGTAATTTTGAAACCAATATCATTTTATTTATTATCAACCAACGAAATGTGAAGTATTTGCAGGGACATTTAGGTAGTCATCCCATGATATGTATGTAGATTAGGTGCATTTTAGCAGAATAAAAAGCAATTTAATAAAGAACCGTTTATTTAGGAATGTATTCTAAACTAACTTAATTAATTCTATTCCTATAAATCAAGGTTTACTTATAAATTATTGACATAGGTGACAACTACTTATTTAAAGAATTCAAATGCTACAGTATTAGTAAACTAAATAAATAAAATATTGTAAATCAAAACAATCGTAGATATCATTTTCTGGTATTCGTCGTGTAGAATTTCGCTCCGTTCACTGTCCCGATTCTTGCAGAAACACCCTGTATCAAAACAAATGTCAAAATCATAATGAAATCGCAACAAAGTCTAAATACCTACGTTTAATAGCTAAAGTATTGTCTAGGTCAAGGAAAAGTGAAATGCTTTTTATTTTATTCCTTAAGGGCAGATGAGTTTGGTATTTAAAGTTTAGAATTAGTTTGTCAATAATTTATGCTAAATAAAACTTGATTTAAATACATTTAAAGTAAGTTGTGCTTTTGCCAAAACTCTGAAGCCTGCAAAAATAACAAGTAGGTAGGTAGGTACCTACGATATAACAACATTAAATAAACGGTTCGTACATTTTGGGTTTTAAATACGTGTATTTGAATTTAAAATAGTTTGTTATGTTGTTGTAGGTAGGTATTTCTACGCGGTCGTACAAATATTAAAATAATACAAAAATAAGATAAATTAGATCCACTCAAAACAAGATAAGTAACGTTAAGTACTTAAAATTATTTTGTTTACTTTTCCAAATTAAATTAATCCGTCTGATAGGCTGTTTATCAGATACATACTATTAATAGTTTTAAATTTATATACCTAATATCAGTAAATATTTATTATATCAGAGTTTATGGGGATTGTTAATAACAACATAAATGTGAATTCGTCATGTCCTGAACAACTTACTTACACCTACCTACGTTGGGATTTCTAAAATCTCCAAGTTGGTTACGCACAGTTGTACGCATGATTGCGTGAATCTGTATGAGGAGGGATAGGTCGGCGCCAGAATAGACTTATTTCAAATTCAACTAATCTCGCATAATTCGATGCGCTTATTTGGCTGGCATTTGTTTTCAAAATGGGATTTTTACCAATAGGGGGAGGTTTAAAAATAGAATTTTCACCAGAAAAAGAGGTTGTCAGTGTGAAAAAGAGAAAGCAATTAGTAAATCTTGGTCCTTAAAATCTAGGGCAATCATTTCCGCAAATGAATGAATTTGTATGAAGAATGTAATGTTATTGTGTGTGATTTTGAGAATTTTTGGCATCAACAGGATTCTTACCTGTTAGCCGTAAATACCCAGATGACACAAATAAATATGCAAAACAAACACGGACTAATTCGCGATAAAAGAAACAGAATCAGCGCCGCAGTGGAAAACAGACTGTACGATTAGAAGAGACAGGCTCACTATTTTGTTGTGGATCAAATTCGTTTCTCTCCTCTCATCTCTACGCTCTCTCTTTCAACTTTTCACCATCCTCTCTCTCTTCCATCCACTTCTATGTCGCCGAGCGGAGCTGGTGTATCGCCTTTAACGAAACAGTTTCGTGAAGCTTGCCCCGCTGCTTAGCTGCCTACGAAAGCTTGCTTTCCCATTGGCCGTACCTTTGGCGTTGCTGCGCAAAGCATTACGGAGTGTATGAGTGACGTCAAAGCACGAACATAAAGTCCGATACACTTACTCCGCCGGCTAGAATTCGCATTGAGGAAGCCGGTTGCTTTTAGTTTAAAGCCGCCCTATGAAGACTTAACACTGTTTCATGTCGTCTCTGTAAAAGGAGTTAATACAAGTGAATAAATTGTGATATTTAGTGTTAGTGTGCCAAAAATAGGTAAATAATATAGTTCTTATACGTTTGATATAGTTTTATTTGGTGAAAATCCGATATTTTATCGGATCTCTTCGAAAATCAAATTGAGGGCAGGAGCTTTGAAAAACATGACCAGAGCTTTTCTGTTGTTGGGCGCTTTTCTGAAAGCTTTCACCTAAAAGATATTCACTCTAACGATAATTTTCTCGTTAAAATAAACAAAAATAAGCAACTGGGGAATTAATTTCACAAATTTAAAAGGGACGCTTCGCCATTTTTCCATGTTGGTTCGGAAAAGCGGCCATTGTTGGTACCCAAAGCCAACGCTTCGCTTTCCATTCCCCCCTCTCTATTTTGCTGACGTGGATTTCCGTTGAGCTTGCGTGACATGCTTCAGCTCAATAAAGTACCGCTATCACGAAGCACTTCAGCCATTTTATATTTTCGTTATCACATTTAGTGATACTTGGTAATTAAGCAGCCTTATTATTTTATCATGATGAAGATTGAGTTGAATATGTTTTAATTTTATTATTTTTATTTCAGTGAAAATATGGATGACGACCAGCAGTTCTGTTTAAGATGGAATAACCATCAATCAACACTAGTAGCGGTTTTTGACACATTATTGGAAAATGGAACACTGGTGGACTGCACGTTGGCGGCAGAAGGAAAATGTTTAAACGCACACAAAGTTGTATTGTCTGCTTGCAGCCCATATTTTGAGGTAGGTTTTTTCAGATTTTTTGTTTTTTATTTGGTGCTAATTTACATTTTCTTTTACAGTCATTGTTGTCTCGGCATTTCGACAAACATCCAATATTAATACTCAAGGATGTTAAGTTCCAAGAGCTTAAAGCTATGATGGACTACATGTACAGGGGTGAAGTGAACATATCGCAGGACCAATTGGGAGCGCTCTTAAAGGCAGCCGAGTCATTGCAAATAAAAGGGCTGTCTGACAACAAAAGAGGCGAGACTGAGAGAAAACCGGCGCCCGCTCCTCCACCTTCGAAGAGCCCCCAACCTGCAGCTGCACTACCGAAGGTGCAAGGCCTAACGATAGAGCAACGCAGCAGGGAAGACAGCAGAGAGGGTAGCCAGTCGCCTGGGCCCCGAAAGAAAAAGAGGATGAGGCGCAAGAGCGAAGATATGGACAACCACGACGCCTCCAACTCCTCTGAATCTCACAGTCTACCCGCCCAAAACATTCCCTCATCGTTACCTGCTGTATCCAAATTGAATGCCGACGTGCCTGAACCTGTAGAAACCAAATCCGACATACTGACGAGGCATAAGCAAGACGAAATCCCACAAGTTCCTATTATCAAAGAAAAACTAGAAACTCATACAGAACTGATGCTTGAACCAAAGTCTGAGTATGTAGAGGAGATGAATGAGGACAGTATTGAGGATTTGACATTAGACGATGACGACTTAAGCAATATGGAACAAATGGATGACGGAGCTGGGCCTAGTCATGGCAACATGGGAGAAGGATCAAGCCAAGGTGAGAACCACTTTCAATTGCTCATTTTATTTTGTTATTTACAACAATTTACAATGAATTATTTACTGCACAACACATTCAGTTTCTGGTCAATGTGTTAGATTCCCTCACAAATTTTCTTTAATTTTGTAATTATGAAAATAGTTGTTATAAATGCATTTTTATTATTTTATGAGTACAATCGTTTTAAAATCGCTTCTTAGGACTATTAAAGACATTGTTGTGATAAATTAAAAAAAAAATTGTTTTAAAATTATTATTTTTTGCAAATACGACTTTTTGGGAACTTAACTCATTTTTGCAATAAAACTTTTATTACATTACATAAAGTAATTATTGCAGAAATAAGTTTTAAAGCCCAAACAGTCGTTTTTGTAAAACATATTAATTTTAAAACATAAAAAGTAATTTTTACCATCACTTTTTTAATTTTATTCTAAAAATGTGCTTTATTCTTAAAAACGTTTTTAACTTATCAACAATCTTATTCATAAAATTATTTAATAGTTTAAAAATGTATTTTTATCAAAAGATATTTTACTAAATCCCAAAGTAAAAGGATATTTGTTAATGGGTCTAATAATTTGGACTGTACATATATTTTGGTTTTAATTAACAGTTTATTAATAAATTTTTTTATGGTATGGGTCACAATTAGTAAAATCAGCACAATAAAAATGATTTTGTTGAAATGTTTAAAAAACTGTATTGTTAATTAAACGGTTTGTTAAGTTTTTAAACAAAATCTAATTATTCTTGAACAAATTAATTGACTTTGATGAAACTTTGGCATATCTAAGGTAAAGACTATGAAAAATTATTTCAAAATATTTTATTTTTTTAATTTTTCTCCCTGTTTTGAACCTTTTATAAATGTGAAATAAATGTCAAAACTTTAAAGAATTCCTTTATTCCTTGGAGTTTTGTTGTGAAGTAACATTTTTAAAAGGTCCAAAAGAATGAAAAAAATATAATAAAAATTTGATAAATTTTTATGAAAATAATTTTCATAATAATTACTATCAATAGGCTAAAGTTTTATCAAAATCGATTTGTCGCTTGAATTAGAGATTTTGTTGAAAATAAAATAATCTTTTTTATTTTCAAATGGAAGTTTCTACATTTGAACAAGATAGCCATTTTTATAGTGCTGATATTACGAATTCTGAACCTATATTAAACAGTTTTAACAACCAAACCTAGGATTTTTTAAGAAAGTAAAAATAATAGTCAATATTTTGCCAACTTCCCTAAAAACATAAATTTATCAAGTCCAAGGCAAAGCAACCAATAAAATTACTAAAATTTTTCAGTAATTTCGTTAGTTTTGTTTTTCCTGACTTCCAATCTATGTTTAGCAGAGAAATATTAAAATTACTTATTATTTTTTCTTTCTAAAGCAATCTCCAATAGGTTTGTGTATTATATGTTTAAATACATATAATATTAACTTCTAAGTATGTTACTTAATAAATATTTTTATAATATGTAACTTTTGGTTTGTGGGTATTTTTATAACTTCTATTACTGTCTGCAATTGTTTGACAATGACGTGAAAATTATAAAATGCTCTGCAAACTAGAAAAATATAAAGCTCTAAAACCTACATGTCCAACTATCCAATTTATTATAAGAAGATGGTGCAATGGTATTTTGCGCAGAATTAAATATGCGTAAAATTTCAGCGCAAATGTCCTAGAGATATAAATTGCATAGTTTATTGTTCTCTTCTAATCTTCTGTTTTTTGGTATTTTATACTGGGTGTTCCTATTCAAAATAAACAACGTAATAGACCTTTTTTTAAATAACTATTTCCAATTATCGCCTTTTTTTGTTTTTACATTATACTTTTTATCTCCGTTATTTATGGCCGGATTTAAAAAAAATAACACAAATTGTTGATATTAAACTACCAATTATTTTTTTTTAAATCCGCTCATAAATAACGGAGATATAAAGGTATATGTTAAAACAACTAAAAAATATTTATTTAAAAAAGTGCCATTGCGTTTTCCATTTTAAACGCCCTGTATAAATCATACATAAAAAATATTTCAATTTCAACCTAAAAATCAAGTGTTAATTTAGCAAGGTACACTTAAATATGTTGTTAATTTTAACTACATATTTTATTTTTATTGCTTAAAATTAAGACTTGTTTGAAAGTTGAAAATGTCTTATTAGTTTTATGATGTTATAAAGTACCATTAAATTTTGATGATGTTAAATATTACAAAATAAAAGAAAGTAACAATAATTTATAATTGCACATTTTTGAATTAAGGTATTTCTCAGGTCGAAAAATATTTGATTGTTATTTTTTGCATTACTATTTTAATGTTTTATTGTTTGATTTTAAATATTTCTACCCTATTTCCGATAAATTTGACCCTTATAGTATGCATAACTACTTTTTATATGTATATTATTTTCTCATTTAAATTGGGATTTGGGTTACCACATATTTAATGTCAAACAATATTTCGTTTAAGTAATACTAATAATTGTATTATTTTTAAAACATACTTAGTTTTTTAATAATTCAACTATTACCTTTTTGGCAAAAAATAATACACAATAAAATTTCAGCATACCAGAGAAGTAACTGATAATTTAAAAATTAAAAGTCAATTAAACTTGTTGAGTTTAAAATTTTATATTATAAAATTTAATTTTTTTAAGAATAAAGGTTACTTTATACCTTACTTTTACTTAAAAATTAAAATTTTAAAAACTAAAATTTTAACTCATGAAGTTAAATTAGTGACTGTAAAATATTTTCGTGTTGCAAACAAATCAATTCAGATAAGGGACTAAGGAGTGTTCGTTGCTTTTAGATTCTCCTCTATATTACAATGAACTCTCTTCAGTCGCTTATTCTAATGTACAAGGGAATTATAATACAGTATTATTGGCAAATCTGCTGTCTGGTCGAATGAGAAAATATTCAAAAGAAAGTATTTCCTTGGCATTAGCTGCAATTTTGAATGATGGCAGAACAGTCACTGAAACATCATTCAAATATGGAATTAAAAGAACAAGTTTGCAACACTATTTGAAACGATTAAATATTAAAAAAAAATAATGTAAAAATGTAATCTTCATTGTAAATTGTTAGTAAATTTGTCCTATTCTAAAAACGGTGGCTTTATTTCGATTGCTTTACCTATTCGCAGGTTTTGGCTGGCATATGGGTAATCAAAGTCAAGATGAAGTATTTTTGGCCGCTCAAGAGGCCGTAGGTGCACATCGTGATTCACAAGGTAAGATTTCCCTTTCAATTATTTGAACTTTGCTGCTATTTTCAAGAAATTCGATACACATTAAAATATAATTTTACCAAATTTTTTATTAAATCATTGTTGAAAATTTGTTTAGAATGGCAGTAAAGTTTAACATTTGCATATGTATGGCAAAATTAACACCATGAGATCCAGTCTCTGATTATAGTTTATTTTAAGCTTTGGTTTAGCATACACATTTTGCTTTTTTACAATTTTGGTTTGCTTTTATTTAGTAGTATGTAGGCTTTCTTTTCAAGTAGTTAATCCTGTAACCTACCTCCCTCCACTGAGGAAGTTATTTCAAGATATTCATTTTTTAAATTTTGCATCAAATTATAATTTCGATATTAACTTTTAGTTTTAGTTTGCTACATTAATTTTATGTTTTTATAAACTTTATCAATATTGCACTTGTGTATTTTGATAAAAAAAAGTAATAATAATTAAACAAAAATCATATTGCCTTCCATGGGCATTTGATTTATTTTTTTGTTTCAAAATATTCTAGGTAATTAATAAATCTAATTGCCCTTTGTGGTGCATTTTATTTAATTTGTTTGCTTTAATAAGTGACTAATACCCACAACACTAGTGACTCCTGCAAAGGTAAGAAGGGGGAGAGAGGGTGAAAACAAAATGTTTTACAGTTCATTTAACTTTCTTATTTTAAAAATAGTAACACAGATAATATCTTGTTAACCTACTTTGTTAACTTGTATTTTCTGTGTTTTTTTAACTAAACATTCACAGTAAAAAAAGTAAATAAAAATTAAACATTTTGTTTTCTTTATTAAAAAAAATCGGGGACTGAGATGTCTCAGTGTTTTGGAATTAAAATCTCCTCCTGCTTATTCAATATTTTTTGTTACCAAAACTAATTTATTATTTATCCTTCCTCAAAAGTTTTGCCATACATTTGTAAGTGGTGTTTTTTGTTGGGTTTTTGTAATTTGGTTGCCAAGGCAAGCGATATTCAATGTTTTTTGTTTCAAACTTCATGATGTCTTGTGAATGTCAGAGTGTGTGTTGAGTATCGGTTGTTTTGTGTTCCATACTAAAAATGTTGGCCTTTCTATTTCATATCTTTACTTTCGGTCTAACATATTTGTAATCTTTTTCATATACAAATTTTAAAATTTTTGGGAACAAAAATTGGTGCCAAATTTTAATATTTGTTATGAAAACTATTATTAATCGTGCATGTCCTAATTTAAGATTGTACATTATTGTGTATATTTTTTTACATCATGTCTAAATTTAGACCTGGTGCACTGTATATTTCTTATAAATTAAAATTTATTATACTTATTAGTAAATTTTAAACATTGGACTGTTGAAAATATAAGATTTTGTTATACTTAACTAACAAGATTTTATTTTAGTCAATAGAAAAGTCTGGCATATGTAATTTTACATTTGTCAAAATAGTGAAATTTAACGATTATTGCAATCATTTGATGCAGTAATTTTCTACAGTATGTAGCTGTTCATTTAACTATGAAGGGCGAGGTAAACAAAATATTAAATTGTTACATACAATTCGTCAAATATAATTATATTTCATTAGTAAAGTAAACATTGTTATTTTAACAGTGCGTACTTATTGATTAAATATAATTATTTATTTCTATCCTACTATGGTTTTTATTTTATTGATAATTAAACATTGTTTATGTTAACACTGGTTAGTTTTTGATAAAATAAAATTAAAAAGAGTGTATGCAATTTTGATGAACACTTGTTCATTAAATTTGTAATATTTTAATAGGTGTAGCTTCATAAATATTATGTGGCCAGGTATTTTAAAAAATATTAATTTTCAATATATAATTGTGACCAATATTTGTATTTATTTATACAAATATTAAAGTGGCTTTTATAATTAATTAATGTTTAATGTTCTATTTTACACAGTGATACAATTTTATTTAGGTTCAATTTGTTTAACTGTTAAATATTAAAATAAAATTTAGTAATTATGGTTTAATATTTTGATAGGTTTGTTTGAAACTTATTATTAATATTAAATGGATTCCTTACACTAGATTTTATTTATATTTAACTGTGTTTCAATGCTAATATTTAGCACTACTAAAATATTTGTATTTAAATAATGAGTTTTATCTTGTTTTTTAAATGCACCTACATGGTTTATTTATAAACAGTGTCTTGGTATCTGAGTTACTATTTATTAATAAGCCAAATTTTAAATAAATACAGATAATTTTGTGTTTAAATAATAAGTACCTTATTGTTTAAAAGCAATTTATTAATAAATAGTGCATTTGCACTATTTAACTTATGTGATTATTAATAAGCTAAACAATTTCAACATACATGTAAGTACTTAGATTATGTCTTAAATGCAATCTTGCGAGGGTTATTTATAAATATTAATAGTTATTACTATTTATTAATAGCCAAATTTGACAACAGGTAATTTGAAGGTGCATATTTTGTATTTAATTAATAAGTACTTATCTTATTTTTTAAGTGCAATCCTAAAGAGTGCTTATTAAAAGTTTTTGCTACTATATATTAATAGGCCAATAATATACTTCGTTTATTTGATTGTATTTAAATAATAAGTACTTTTCCTATTTCTTAAATGCAATCCCAGATAGTTTGTTTATAAAAAGTGACAAATTTTTTGTTACTCTTTATTTATAAGCCAATTATTTAGTTAACTTGGTTGTATTTAAATAATAAGTACTTTTCTTATTTTCTAAATGCAATTTTTAGCGAGTTTATTCATTAATAGTGCCAATTAAATGTCACTAATTTAATAATAAGCCAAATATTACAACATAACCTAAACTTTATATTTTCTGTATTTAAAAAATAATTTTATTTTTTAAACGCTGCCGTTTCGAGTTTATTTGTATTTAGAGCTACATTATGTGTATCGCTATTTATAAATAAGCCAATTTTAACACCATAATAAAAAAAAAATAGTGAATTGTATTAAAAAGCTAAGTACTTTTCTTAAATTTTTAATGCAGTTGGCAAATGTTTTATTGGTATATGGGGTAACATTACTTCTGTCACCCCATCTAGCAATGGGCCTAAAAATTAAATCATGTGTTTTAAATTTAATATTTTTAAAAATTATCACTATTTAACAAAAGTATACAATTTTCAAATTCTGTAGTTGCATAGAAATATGCAATGAGGTAATATGTCTAATTATATTCATTTTTCAGGAAATTTCACTATCTTTATCTTTATGCATAGGTTTGTTTGTCGTAAATATTTTATGCTTATGCATACTTTGTATTTTTGACAAAAGCTTAACATTATAAATGATTTAGAAACGTTATAAAAATTGTAGTTACATATTCAAAAATGTTAATCAATTAGATATAACATACCTTATAACTAAAAATGGCCGTTGGGTTTAAAAGTTCCTTAGTAACAGAATTTTTTGTTATTAAAAACATTCCTTTGTTAGTTATAAGTATGAGTATGTCTATATTTTTTCATCATTTTTAAAATATGTAATGAGGTATATAAACAAACTTGTGAAGATGGTAACATGTCTTATTATTTTTATTCTTATTTTTTTACAGGAATTTTCACCATCTTAATCTTTATGCATGGGTTTTTTTGTCGTATATATTTATGCTTATGCATAGTATGTATTTTTGACAAAAGCTTAAAAGTATAAATGATTAAGAAACGTTATAAAAATTGTAGTTACATATTCAAAAATGTTAATCAATTAGATATAACATACCTTATAACTAAAAATGGACGTTGGGTTTAAGAGTTCCTTAGTAACACAATTTTTTGTTATTAAAAACATTCCTTTGTTAGTTATAAGCATGAGTATATCTATATTTTTTCCTCATTTTTAAAATATGTAATGAGGTAAACAAACTTATTTGTGTACATGGTAACATGTCTAATTATGTTTATTCCTATTTTTTTACAGGAATTTTCACCATCTTTATCTTTATGCATAGGTTTTTTGTCGTAAATATTTTATGCTTATGCATAGTATGTATTTTTGACAAAAGCTTAATAGTATAAATGATTAGGAAACGTTATAAAAATTGTAGTTACATATTCAAAAATGTTAATCAATTAGATATAACATAACTTATAACTAAAAATGGACGTTGGGTTTAAGAGTTCCTTAGTAACACAATTTTTTGTTATTAAAAACATTCCTTTGTTAGTTATAAGCATGAATATATCTATATTTTTTCCTCATTTTTAAAATATGTAATGAGGTAAACAAACTTATTTGTGTACATGGGAACATGTCTAATTATGTTTATTCTTATTTTTTTTTACAGGAATTTTTACCTTTATCTTTATGCATTGGTTTGTTTGTCGTAAATATTTTATGCTTATGCATTGTATGTATTTTTGACAAAAGCTTAATAGTATAAATGATTTAGAAACGTTATAAAAATTGTAGTTACATATTAAAAAATGTTAATCAATTATATATAACTTACCTTATAACTAAAAATGGACGTTGGGTTTAAGAGTTCCTTGGTAACACTTTCGTTACTAAAAACATTCCTTTGTTAGTTACGAGTTAAAGTATATATTTATTAATTAATATTTTTAAAATATGTCATGAGGTAAACAAATTTTGTTGTGTTAAGTTTAAGTTGTAGTTGCGTTAATTCGCAATGAGGTAACCATAATAAAACAATTAGTATTTATACTTATTATTAAGAATTAAATAAATTTAATTAAAATTGCTATCAATTTGCTAAATTTATTTAGGTAATAAAAATAAGTTAAATATAATTTGAAAAATATAATTTTTAATGTTTAAATATTGATTTGTTTTTACTTTTGGAAACTTAAATTGAATATTTAACTTAAATGTTTTATTTTTCTGTTTATTGTGAAAAAATATCAACTTTAGCCAACAAAAATGAAGCAAATTAGCGACCACAGTTTCTTTATTTTTTCAAATAAAGCAGTTAAAACATATTCAGTTATTTTCTGCATTTTTT